TTACAGGTTTGTGAGAAGTTAAAATTATATTTTAGAATTCTCTCTTGTTCTTCTGAAAGACTAACATTAGAAATATTAACTATTGGCTTGATGTTAATTTCTCTCACTCAACTCTGTTTGAAACAAACACATTTTGTTTTCCAAAATAAATATTACAAGCAAACTGAGGGATTAGCCATGGGAAGCCCCCTCAGTCCCATCCTGGCTGATATCTACATGCATTATTATGAATCAAAATTGTTTGAAACTTTAAACTTCCCGGCATGGTTCCGCTACGTAGACGATACTTTTACCCTGTTTGAAGGTAATAAAGATGATTTAAATAGAGTTCTTTCAACAATGAATTCTATTGATCCTGCTATTCAGTTCACTTTTGAACTTGAGACTTGCAATCTCTCTTCCGTTTCTCGACATTCTGGTCACACGTAACACATCCAACTTCAGTACTACAGTTTACCGTAACCTTCATCGGTTTGCCTTCCACCACAACTTTAAATCATGTCATCCGACTAAACAAAACGTTAGCTTCACTTTATTCCTATGTTTTCCGTGCTCTTCAAGTTTTCTCTTCCAAACTAGTCCCTTGATGAAGAACTAAATTATTTAAAAGCAGTAGCTATTCACAGGAAGCTTTTCACCCAACATTATTAATCAAGCAGTTAAAAAATTCTCATCTCAACACACTAAAAGCCACACTCTTATTTTAGGAGATTATAAAATGTCTGTTGTCATTCCCTTTCTTTCCATCAATTAGCTATAAAGTTGCACATATTTTGCAGAAATTTAACTTTCGGGTTGTTTACTCTCCCATCAATAAAAATTCCAACTTCTATACTCAAGGACCCCATTCCGGATATGAATTCTTGGGGTATTTATAGGATTCCTTGCCAGTGCGGTTTAATTTTACATTGGCCAAACTAAGAGAGCCTTAAAATTTCGCGTCAAAGAACATGAGGCATATGTTAGAAAAAAGGAAACACAGAAGTCTTCTGTTGCTCAACATTGTTGGTCCGAAAATCACACTTTCAATTTTTCTGCTGCCAAAATTATTCAAAAAAACATCTTCCATGTGGAGAACTGGATTTTCTAGAGGCATTTCACATTCATAAAAATCTTTCTGTTCTAGTTAACGATCCTAATTCCAATCCAAATTTGCCTTCGGCTTTTTAGAGAAATTATGTTTTAGTTCTGGTTTCGCCAACAGATGGCGCCACTTGCTTATTCTTGTCCAGGCTTTCTTATCTTATCTAAACATTATTTCCTATCTTGTTCATTTGCGGTTTTGCAGCTGAAGATGATGGTTCGGTAAAACCATCGAAACTAGTCCTGTGAAAATTTTGCAAATTAATGCTGATTTTTGTTGTTTGACTTCTGAATTATTATTTATTCGGCGTGTTATTGTGTCTTAAAAATTACATTGTTTCCAATGTTCCACTAAAATTCCTATTGAAATTCTTAGCTCTAGCAGATAATTAATTTATAAGATGAATTAAGAGCTTGGAGGACTAAAAAGCAGTAGGAGTAAAGTTCCGATTCCATTGTGATATCTGACTATGTACAGTAGGCAGTGCTTAATGTGATTATATTTGTCCACTGCTATTTTGATAACATTAAACTACGAGAAAAAAAATACCCTTCGAAATAGCAATGAACTTTTACTATTTTAACATAACCAAAAACACATAAATATATACTTCACTGCATTTTAATTAGGAAAAGGCAAAAATTTATTTGTGGACTGATCACAATGTTTTTCATGCAAATGTTCATCAACTCATAACATTTCTGTATTGTTCAACTCCTCATAACATTTCTGTAAATTATTTGACTGATGCTGAACCCCTAATCTTAATACTGGGAGGGCATTCTTAGTTGAAAAAGAACATGCCAATGTAAAATTTAAAATTAAGCAAAGAAAAAAAAATCAACCTTAGTAAATGCTTTATGGATATATTTCTTCCTCCAGGAGTAATAAAAGGGTGGAAAAATATTCTTCAGAATTTTTTTTTTTTTTTCTCTTGAAAAAGAGAGATGTGTCCGACTTCCCTGAAAATCAGCAGACTTCTTCAAAATTATGCCATACAAAAATTGCCCTTTTTTGGGGGGGCCTAGTTTTAAATGGTTGATTAAAATTGTAACCAAGCTGTTTGGAGACTTAATCCCTAATTTGGTGACATTTCTCTATCGCTTCCTAATTTTTTTAATCTATTTTGACTTATTTGCGATTTTTCTTCAATTTAGAAAAATTATTCTGTAACATTTAGATTATATTAATTAAATTGCTGATCACAATAAGAGATGTATTTCTCATTTTTTAATATACAGCTGGATGGGACTTCAATAATTAAATAACAATAGCCAAATGATAACATTAAACAGTGTCTACTGTAATATAGAACATAATACTTCAGATAAAATTATATATAAAATTATTTAAAATGTATTAATGTTATTAAAAATATCTCAAATTCACTTACAATATTTCCTATCAATAAAAATTTACAGCTAACCTGATAAAATTTGCAGATTAATGATTTTTATCAAGTTACATTGTTACCACACACACAACTTTTCAAAATTTTCATATCTTTGCTTCAGAGTTAAGGGACATTTATTCAATATTAAAAAGGGAAGTCCTAGCTTATATTTTTTATAATATTTCTATAGCTGCAGAAGTTTTTAATAACCATTTAGCAAGATTTTGCAACTTCCTTTATTATTACACTTATCTGCTTTGAAGAATAATTAGAGTTAGTTTCTTAACACGTCGACTACCGTGGGAGTCACCGGTGACCAGCACTCGACTTGGCTACATGGCCGTTAGTGCCACCGGTGACGCGACCAATAGTAAAATACATAAGTAGAGTAAATATCGATACTGATAAATTTTTAAATAGTATCATTGTTACTATAATGGTTTGAAGAATAATAAATCAAAAATTAAATCGCAACAATGGTCTACAGTGCCTTGGGGGTCACCGGTGACCCTCCCATAAAAAATGCTTTAAGCACGATTATATAACTCACATTATTTTCTGTAAATAATAATTCAACATAATATACATTGCATAATAAAAATTTCAATTTGGCGTCATGGGCAAACCATGTCAAATAATTTTAAAAATTTCAGCTCATACTTGGGATAGATACTAACACTTCAGTATAAAATACATTTTGACATAGTTAACAAAAAAAAAAAAAAAAAAAACAGTAAGATGCCTATGTTAATTATATAGCAGAGTAAAAATTGAAAATCAATTTTTTTTAAATTTGTGCATTTTTTACAGAAATATTTAAAACTAGAGAGAGAATCAAAGGAAGAATCATCTGCTCTTAGAAAACAAATAGAAGATCTTCAGATGGAGATAAAATTATTGAAATCTAAAACTAGTGCACCTTTAAATAGACTCCTACTGAATTCTGCTGAAGTACACAATTCCTCTACAGAAGATATTTTGGATAAAAATGACTTTATTCCACAAATAAAGCGACTGAAAAGAACTAATATTCAAACAGATGCAAAAGATTCCCACACGAATGCAGAAAACAGTTTTAATAAATCTGAAACAGCTCATCCCCAAAAAAAGAAACTGTTTAATCTTGATTTTAATTATTTTAGTAAAGGATAAAGTATTTATATTGCTTAAATATAAGCTTTTGTGATCAAAATCAATATTAAAAATGGACAAAATACAGTTAATTAGTAGCATGCCTTTTTAAAACTTGACTCTATTTTGAAGATTTAGACTTTTACAAGTGACCTCTTCAGAGCATGCATACAAATCAATAATCCATTAAGCTGTTTATACACACTGAAATGCAAATGCAGGTAACCAGGTAATGGAATGTGCAATTCAATTCCAGTTTAATGATATTGTTAATTTAACAATTATTTTCAGTGCATAAAAGTAATCAAAAATTATCCTATATTAAAGGTTTCGTAAATCTATCAATGTGTGAAAGAGTACTGTTTCCTCCAGACCAATGGTATATTTTTGTGTAGCAATACACATACTAAATTAGTTCCAGTATGAAAATTCAAGATTGTTTTAATCAAAAATATGATTGTTATTTAAACAATAAATACAAACCTAAGATCATGCACCAATAAATCGAATCGGAGCTTCTTATAGCTATATACTTCTTATAGAATATAAATACGAATCGGAGCTTCTTATAGCTTACTACTTAATGAGTGCAGTTTACTATGGGATTCAATTAAAAATTATAAAGGAACTACCACTATTCCACATATGATGAATCTTGATGAATTAAGTTTATGAAAATAGAGACTAAAATAAGTAAATATATGTATTTAGCTAATAAAGACTATTTAAATACAGGTTTTCATGACAGATCCTAAAACCAAGGCCACTCAGAGAGTTAAGGAAGCTAAATATATGGCTCGCATATGAACCAACTGATATAGTTCGACCACCTCAATCCATGACCACAAATGTGCACAAACACGCATGCGCCATTCGGACTGAATTATTCTCAAAATAGGGTAGAAAGATGGTGACTTTCTTTCCCTTCAGCATATAAATTCTCTCTTTCTTGAGAAGAGAAGACTTTCATGTTGAAGCAAGTAATAACGTTCCTTTTGGACAAGTCTGTGTTTTGGTAAAATGCCAGCCACGACTGCATTTGTGATGGTCAAATTATAGCAAATAGGCCAAATACTTTTGCCATGTGGGTGTGTTTAGAATATGAAGTTTATTATTAAACTAAGACAGTTTCTCACTTTCTCAATAATTTTCAGTAATCCTTTGATAATCATTAAATTGAGGTCTAATTGCAATGACTAATACTTTTACATCAGTCTATGAATTAGAATACATCCCATCTTCTCTTTTCTGCATTTTGATTGTTTCACAGATGTATGAAATTTTTTTCAGAAACTGAATTCAAATAAATACAGTTAAAACACATTTTAAAAGTTTCAGGATTTAAAAAAAAAAAAAAAAAAAAAAAAAAAAAAAAACCCACTGAAAACAACATTTTGTAAAAATTTCAGTTTTATTATACACTATTGTATTAATGCTGATAACTTCAAATTCCTAAGACGTGAAAGTACTAAAATTACAATCAGCTAATACAGGGTTAAGTTGAAAAATATGTACATCATTCAAGTAATACAACAGTAATACTATTAACATGCAAATGTATACTTTGGATGCAAAAAATTTTTAAGAGATCAAGAAAGAACTAGAAATAGAAAAAATGAATATTCATTTAATATGTATTTCTAGAGAAATTCTTATAAAATGCTTAAGCAAGTTCAATTGGAGGAGTTCTGAAAGGAATACTGCTCCTCTAGTTTTATGTAGATAATATGAGAGCTAAGAAATGCTCTCATATTATCATTAATGTCAAACTGCTACCGGTGCAGTTTCCTTTTTCTCATATTCATCAATGTACCATTGTTGATTTATGTGTATAAACTTGACTAGCAATTGATATAAAGTATCATGAGATTTTACTTCCACATACATAGCAATAAAAAATGCAAGAAAAAATAACACTCCACATACAAGAGTCACTATCTCTGAATGAGTCAGTTCTGTACGATTAGGGTCAATTTTGGTCCCATTGTCCTGCTTAAAACATAAGACTGTTATGGATGCACATGTAACCATCAGCAAAACAGCCAAGAAAAATAAGAGATGAAGGACTTTATCTTTTCTAGAACATGGTGGTAACTTCCAATGTCGAACCTATGAATGTTAAGAAAAAGAATTATTATATAGATTCAATATTAAAAAGCAACTTTTTGATCCAAAATATATCAAAAAAAAATACTGCATTGCAAAGGGAAAGTTTGATTCAAGTTACTGCATTGCAATATAATTAGGGGAAGGGATAAATTTATAAACAAGGTAATCTAAAAGTAAGTAAAAAGTTTTTACTATTATAAACTGCACAGAGTTATATTTCTAAAGTCAGTAAATATTAAAGAAACTTGTTCTTTGGTATATTTACAAATATGTGGAAAGTAATTAGTACGCAAATGCCTATTCTACTTTTTTAAGTGTAGCAGAGTAGGTTTTTTTGTTTGTTTGTTTGTTTGTTGTTGTTGTTTGTTTCTTTGTTTTATTAGTATTATAGTAAACTTTTTATTGCAACTTTATTGATGGTATTGGAATTCTGAATATATTGCTCTGCTTTTGGATTATTCCTGGTGTATATTCAGCATTATGCTGATCTGTTAAAAAATAACATTATTCTTAACTTTAAAGACTATTAAATTTTGCAGCATTTATGAATGATAAAGCTCATATTGCTATATCCTTGCTCTCAGCTTTAGTGAAAGTGCAGTAATAAGCCACGACTTTCAGTATGCATGATAATTCAGATCTAAACTCTTGCAATTTATATTTATTTATTTATATTGATAAGATATAAAATATGAAAGCAATTACTAACTTGACTTTTTCATTTTAATATGGTACTTTCCATTTCTGTCCTAAAAATAGTTAATGTATTTAAACTGCAACATTTCAAAATGAATACACACCATAAAACCTTAAGTAACAATGTAATATAGATACCTTTTATCCAATCCCTAAGATTTCAGTTGAGAAACAAAACCTTTCGAATCTACCCCTGCGTACCAGGCGTAATATATTTTTCAGTTTTACTTACTGTGTGCTAGGATTCACGCTGTGGGGAAAAAATGGGGAGACAGTTCTATATTTCCCATTTTACTGGGCTGCCTTATCTGCAATAGATGATCACCTCATGGAAAGCACTTGCAATCGCTGTAAAATTTGTACGTACTGCGAATGAGTTTTATTAAAGAACATCTTGTTTGTTTTCAGCTACCCACATTTGATGCCTTCATATATTTTACGCAAATTAAAAATTCCCTTCATCTTTTCACTTGTTTTCTTTCATGCATAAACACATTTGCTGATTTATATATAGCATTGTTCTAACATAGGTATTTTGACACAAAATTGGACTTTTTCTGTAACATATCATTCCCCCCCCCCATATTTCAGTTCTACAACTCAAATTATGCCTAGATATTAAATTTTGTAAAATTTGGTGTGAAATTTAAGGAGAAATTCAAAAATTTATCTTGGCACAATTTTTTCAGTTTTTACCAAGAATAATTCACTTGGGGAATTTTTAATATGTGGCAATCAATTTTCCTTTACCTTCCATTACGTAGAGCCAGGGGGGGGGAGAAGGCACCTTATTCCTACCTTTTTACATAGTGCATGAGCGGAAAAAAAGGCACCTTATTCCTACCTTTTTACATTGTGCATGAGCGGAAAAAAAGTCACCTTATTCCTACCTTTTTACATTGTGCATGAGCGGAAAAAAAGTCACATCATTTCTACTTCTAAATAATTTTAGAAAAGTGTCTAAACCACATTTGACGTTTTATTGCTTTCAACAAATAATGTCAAATTTCAAAACGCACCAATATATAAATTCACATGTATCTTTGGAAATTTTGAATAAAAAACTGGAATTTTTTGCAGGTGTGCTTAGAAATAAGTCTACTTTAAGATGATGGTAAACATTTTATATTTTATAATTCCAAATATTTTTTGAAAAATTTATAACAATTATTTAAAAATTCAAGTTTTTAAAATAAATCATAAAAAATGGGTGAATTTTATTTGGAATGAACCTAAATTTTGAAATGTGAAAGGAAGAATCAAATAAGTTTAATAAAAAAAAGAGAGATTAATAAACATATACCAAACTCTAACATTGAGGAGCTAAAATTTTGAGAGCTAATTTTTTAAAAACTACATGTGTGATTTTTACAAAACTTGGTAGTTTGGCGTAATTTGAGTCGTAGAATCGAAATATGGAAAAAAAATGGTATGTTATTTCAGAAAACGTCCAATGTTTGTGTCAAAATACCTATATTAGAACAATGCTATATATAAATCTAATACATATCCTAATTCGCGCTTTCGAGACATGAAAAACGCAAGTTGAATTTCGTCAATCGGCCCAGTAGAACAGGAGATATAGAGCTGTCCCCCCCTTTTTTTTGCGCAGTGTACATTTCAAAGAATGGTATGAAAATTGGATGCAGACTGCACTCATAACAATGTGTGAATCAGAATGTATCTCAAGAGCTTTATACAGTAATAATATTATGTGAATCTACAGCTGAGTCTGTCTGCAGTGTCATTCTTCTTTTTACCCAGAAAAGCTTTTTCAATTTATTACAATGCAATAAACCTTTCTTCAACCTATTACATATAATATATATATATATATATACACATTTTCTAAGGGTATTCGAAAATTTTTGGCAAAGACATATATCAGTGATCTCTACAGAAATAATTTTCCATATCAATTGGTCTTCAGACAAAGCACAATTATAATAATCATTTTTATTCGTCAATCATAGATGATTTGATATAAAATTTTAAATATTGTGTATGTTTATACACAGTGGATGGTATTCTATTCTATGTAACATATGAATGCTGTGTAAATTTTTATATTACATTACTTTGTAGTCTCAAACTGAATGTGAGAGAAAAGTATACATTCAATTCAAAGAGAATCCTTCGGAGCGGGATTTAAAAAAAAAAAAAAAAAAAAAAAAAAAAAAAAAAAACAGAGAGAGAAAGAGAAAACATTAAACAGAAGAAATTACAAGTGGAAAACAACAGAAAGTGATAAAACAAAAATGGCATATCAACACTGCAGTATCCAATTTCCTCTTGTTTACAGGTATCAAAAGATCAAAACTTTTCGCTTAAATGCAAATTAGAAAAATAAATAGGATATGATCCATATTGAATAATTTGTTTTGGAATTTTGCAAAGAATTTATGCAATAAAGTATTGCATAAAAATTTTTTTAGAAAGAAATTATGCAATAAAACTTTTTCTAATACATCAAGCTCTTTATAAAAGTTTCTTGTTCTATTTTAATTAAACAGAATAATAATTAGCATAAATGTAATGCAAACCACAAACATAATTCTGCCTTTTTAACAAGTATAGCCTGTACACGTAGGAAAATATCTTTATAATTTTTCATCCATTAAGAGGTAAAAATATTTTTACTATGATTATTGGGCAAAACAAAAGATATACACAACCAGATGATTAAAATAAACTCCCTACATCTTGGTTTGCAGGAATTGAGCAGGACTTTTTTTCTCTTTTTTTAAATTATAAATTTAAACAATATACATACCTTGAATTTTTTATGCCAATGATATTGATACTGGCAAAGTTCACAACTGGCAGGTCTGCGGCCACGTTTATGACATACTTCTAACCACCTCTATAACATAAAAGTGAATATTCGTTAATCACTTAAATGTAATTTATATTATAAAATAAGTGGAAATAAAGTATCAAAATTATTAAGCTTGTTGGTACTTTTCCGTTTTGCCGGTGCAGGTGTTAAAGTCGCCAATAATGGTACAATTGATGCCAAATAAAATATCCTTGCTGGTAACCTTTTATGCCTCATTTTCAAAACAAATCACAGTCATTTCTTATCAGCTTGATTGTTTCTGCAATACTGGCATACAATTACATAGAATTTTTACCAGATAGTTCAATTTTATGCCGTAAGGCCTTTTGTGGTAATTAATTAGGATGCAATCACACCGCTCACCCGAAAATACACGTGATATGAAAAGGTGAATCAGGATGTTGAACCATGAAAGCATAGTAAATTCTTAAATTAATATCTTTTTACAAATTTATCGTGTTATTGGCCTTTTTACAAAATTTTGAACGGTATTAAAATGTTTATGCCTTCAAAATAAAAAATGCTAAGAACTAAAATTTTTTATGTGTACACTGTATGTTATCGCCAATAAAGTCTGCTTGGCGAGATTTGCGGCGGCGAAACAGAAAAGTACCAGCTTGCTTCTTAAATGTCTAACAGATAAATAAATACTTTGAACCCTGCTCTATGATTAACCTGTAATCAACATGCTTTTGATATGAATTACTCACTAAGAAAACACACAGGTTAAAATGAGTATATTACCTTTGCATGGAACATTTTGCAAAGATTTAGCTAACTTTTTAATAATTTTATAGAACAATTAATATAATTTTGTTAGAGAGAAAATCTAAAGCTTAATTCAGATGGCTGAATTACAGCTGTATCAAAATGCTTCTAACAAAAGAAAACCTGAAGTTCTGGATAGAGCTTTTCCTTTTTCATCAGAATACTTAAAGGTAGTGTAATCTGAATACAGTACTTATTTATTCTAGAGAATTACTTTCAGAAAATAATTCCTTAATACTTATTATATGGAATAAGCAAATAATTATTCTGGGAAAGTGTAAAATCACCCACTACTTGGTGTGTTTTTAAGAATTGCACATATGTGGTATCCATGTACACATCGACCTATTTTCACTTAAAAAAACATTCCAGAATTGCACAAAAATGGCATTGCACTCTCCTTTGACTTTATCCATGTACACATCGATCTATTTTCACTTAGAAAGTCAAAGAAAATTGACAAAAATCCAATTCTTCTTACTCTTGTAAAAAGCGCCAAACAAATAAGTGTGCGATTCTGCACTTTACCCAATTATTCAACAATTCCAGCACTCAACTAAATATCTGTAATTTTTTTGGGCAGTTTTTGTCAAAATTATTGTCCACTTCAACCAAGATCAGATCGGTAATTAGGCACTCTCTTTATTAATAAGGAACAGCGCTCAGCAACATTACCTGCCTGATATTTACTGATAATTATTACTTATGTGAATCAAACCATGAAATTAATATTTATAGCAGGCTTATTTTTTCTTCTTCAATAGAATCCTAATAAGAGGATACACACTTTGATAATCTAAAACTATTGTAATAGGCTTGATTTGAAACTATATAACTTCTGATCTTGGAGAAGATAAGTCAGCGATATTTATACTTGAATTTATTGCTTACACACTGGATTCTTAAATAATAAACATTTTACTAGCTTTGTTAAGATAAACTTTCAGTATTAATCATTTTACTGGTAGAGTGGCCTTAAATTGTAGCACATTTCTGAAAAGTTGATTAAGTACCATTTTCATAATAAACTATAAAAATATTATAAAGGTTTAGTTAGTTAGCAAAAATATAAAAATAAAATATGAATTTACATGTTACCTGAATTTTTGACGAAAGTTACCGATTTGTCAGAACAATTTTTACATAGAAAATAATAAGCAAGAAAATAAGATATGTAAAAATTCAAAAATTTACTTCATAATTTAAATTAAGACATATACAATAACAGTCTAACATGATCTTTTTTAAAAAAACAAACAATTTTGAAAAAACAAATAATTAAAAGAATTTTTTTTGTACATAAACTATAATAAAGCAACAAAATTGAGTCAACAGAATTAATTATATACGATTTTAAATTTTTTATTTATGATTTTTATCATGAGAGCTTTATGCAATACTCTCTTTTTCCTTATCAGAAAACATCACATAAAAATTAAAATTGAGATTTTTCTGCTATTTTTCAAATATACAAATAAAAAAAAAAAATGCTGTATAACTGATTTTTCCAAACACCTTTCTTTCCTCAAATGGACTTTTCATTACAGTTTTAAATTCAAAATGTGCCAAATTTACAAGTCACCAAACTGCTTTCATACACAAAGGATTATGGCTCAGAATTCAAAAACATACATAACATATATATCAAAGAAACATATAGAGAATAATATCAAAAGCAATAAATTTAAATATTTCAAATTCAGAAATATATTAATAGCAAAATTGTGAGAGCATTGTTTTAAAGTATGCAGAAATATTTAACTGGTCATATTAAATATTTATATAAAGCAGTTTAAATAAACAGAAACAAACACATTACTTTTTCAATCATTTTTAAAATAAGCTAAAAAACACCCTGCTCACCATAAGGCAGCCACAATGAATGTATTGCATTGTACCAGAACATCTACATGGAGAAATTAATGGATCATTTTCTCTTGCTGTCATATGACAGATCTTGCATATAGGAGATCCATTTTCTCCATAACTACTGGCTATGCTGAGTTGAGCAGCTGAAGGGGAAATGGGAATTACTTTTCCTAATGACATCATGGATAATTCAAATGGATCATCCATAGTTTTTATACTGAGTTCATTGCTCATAGGAACATCTGCAGGTTGAGATATGGTGGGCTCTTGGACATCTTCTGCTTCACTGGAAGATTCAGATTCAAACACTGCAAAATTCACTGTAGGTGTGAGGCTGTAACTTCTACTACGGAATTCTCCATCTCTATTATTTGTACCAATTTCCCAATTGATACTGCTAGGTCTTTGTATACCAGATGGTCCAGCAACTGGATCAATGCCATTAACATAAGTGGGTTTCAGATAATTATTACTATCACTCATGAGAGGTCTAGGGATATTTGTACTTTGATCTTGAACATATGTGTAACTGATTGCAGGCATGGCTTGACTGCAAATAGCAGGGATACGACCAGCAAAAGAATCAGGTTCACTATCTGCACTTTTACATTTTTGATTGAGAAACCACTTCTTGGACTTCGTTGCATATGTATAGTCACTTAAATCAGCTGCCTGAGAATCATCATAATCACTAATTGCATTTTCAAAGTAATTAGAACAAGCCATTGCACCACGTTGTGTCGATAAATAAGATATCGGCTCTTGAAAAGTACTTTGAGGCTGAAAGTTATGGTAAGATGAAAAATTATCACAGTTCATAGCTTTATTTCTGTCTCTTCTTTCGGTATTAGAATGTGGATATGGATCACATGGATTAAAATGCTTGGGTTTCAAGATATCCTTATTGAATTCCATTTCAGAAAGCATATTAGGAGTCCAGGTTTCTGCAGGAGTACAATACATTCCACATGTTTCTTTCATAAGCATGGGCGACTGTTCAGTATCATCCTCATCCGACTCCCCATAGTCATGGCAATCCACTTCTTGAACATTTGGAATGAATGAAATATTTTCATATTTTTTCCCACCAGAGCACTGTTGTGCTTCATCATTTGGAAGAAAGATGTGCGTATCACAAGAAATATTGCAGCTTTCAGCATTAGAGTTTGAAGCAGCAGGTACCACAGTAAAATTCCTCATTTGAGAGTTGTATGATGAATCTGTATTTACACTTGTAGCACTGGAAACTTGGGAACTTGAGGCTCCACTAGCATTTTGAGGACAATTATGACTAGAAAATGAGGCAGTTGTTCTCTCAGTGAGACCACCTTGAGAGGTAGCTCCCGATGGCTTGCTCATTCCACCTGATTTGTGTTTGCACATAGTCTAAAATACATATTTTGAGTAAATAAGTATAAAAATTTTGCAAGAATAACAGATAGTTCTAAAAATTATGATATTTATGTTACACATACAGATAAAAGAATTTATTAAATTTAATGACAGCTATATGACATTTATTTTCATTAATAAGCAATTTCAGAAATGCTAATGACACATTATTTCATTTACATAAAAAATACTACAAAATTTTAAATGGAGATTAGGTAATTTAGATCAGAATTTAATTATAATAAATTACGAGTCTCATAAATACAGTAATTAAATATTTTACAGAAGTTGCAACCTTTTAAAAAATCACACTAGTTCCCAAATTAAACTCAAGAAAATTGACTCTTGATTGCTTACTTCTGGATAAATATTTTACTTCCAGATTTCACTCACAAAAACAGAAGGTAATCATATACTTAAACATTATGAATATATCTTGCATCAAATTTAACATGATGACTGAAATGACAAAACTTCTCTGAATATCATTAAGAAGGTAAAAGTTTAGCTAACATAAAAGATTTGGCTCCTTCTCCTAGTCTTCCTTTTTTTTTTTTTTTTTTGTTTCTAGAAAGAAGGCAGAATTAATGTGTTATTTTAAATATCTACAGTCAAGTATATCATACGTTCGTAAATTTAAATTTTTAAAGACATGGCAAAATTATGTTATAAAAATAAATTATTCAATTTGTTCTTTGGAATTTAGAAATTATTTCCACTCTAACTGTCATACTTGCAATAAATATGCAGAATGGCTTTACTACTCACCAAAATGGACGTTACTAATTATATTTACAATGCTGCACTCCTTAATTTTCTAAAATGACTTTTTTATTGTATATATTATATGATTATTGTAATCAATTTTATAGTATATAATTTTAAATGCAGCCTTTATTTAGCATATGAATAACAAGTAGGTTCTCTCAACAAGTGCTGATTATTAAAATACAAAAGTATGATCACTAAATAGTGCCCCATATCAATGGCGGGCAAAAGTTATCACAGACACTGGCCACTAACTAAGGCCACAAGCAGTGGTCACTTTATTATAGAGGCACTTAATAGGTGGGCCGTCGCTGTCTATGTTGGGACAGACAATTTACATCCATGCCTTCTCCGGTATTCAAACCTGCGCCCTTTGGTACAGTATAACTAAATAGTTAATATAAAATTTTAATGACACTCTTAAAAATATTAAACTGATACAAACTGTAACAATGATATATATATATTTAAAAAAATTCTTATATACTACTAAAATAAGCTCATTTTTTGATGCAAAATTGCTTTTATCTCTTGAATACAGCTTGGGAAAAGAGATTTTTTTAAGATTAAATTATTTACGTTAAAAATACAAAATATGAAAAAAATACCCAGACATTAAACAATGAAAGATTACTTACAGCCTTTAACAGGTAGCTTTAACTACAGGCAACAAATCAGGCAGGATCAAACGTCATGTAACAAAGTTGAATGTCATATATATGTGTATACAAGTTTTGACAACATTCATATCTGAAGAACCTATAGAAACAAAAATTTCTTTCTTACACACCTTGCAAGAACAAGACTTAAGATTTGGAAAATACAGTTATTTTTCACTAGCTATTACTAAAACAACACTGTTGAGTTACTATTGTACACACAACATGCTAGACATTATTTTAAAGCAGCTTTTACCTGAAAATTTTGTTTGGATAATAAGCTTTTATATTAATATTTTCATTAAAAAAATACAAGTATGTATATATATGTATTAAAATGGGATAAAATAATAATATTTCATAAAATTATAATTTTAAAGATGCAATGAGTTAATTATATGTAGTTAAAGAGCCCTTTGCTGCATACTAAAAATCTAATGACTCTTCCTTTAACACACATTTAAAAAAATATTTTAGTTGAAATATAAGGCACATGAAACTAGACTTTAAACTGGCTTTTAAAAAGTTGAATCAAAGCATGCAATGCAAACATATCTCAAGTAAAATATCTATTTAATAAATCAAACAAACGAGTAATACAAATAATTAAAATTAAGATTAAATAACTGTTACTTTATGAAATGCAAACATAAATAATATAATTGTAAAAGTAAATTTATATGAAAAATATAAAATTTGTAAATAACCACTAGATACTAGCTAAACCACGAAAGATATCCACCTCCCACCGTATTCCCTCATTTTGGTTATACTAGTGTCCGGTACAACAATTGGAAAAATAATCAATTACACTATCAAATTCAGTAGAGAAGACACAGTAAAAAAAAAAAAAAAAAAAAAAAAAAAAAAAGTAACCATTTACTGAAAATAAATACCACGTGACTATTGATAAAAACATCTTACAAACAAACATTTTATAAGATGAGCAATATCAGCTTTTACGTCAAATTATGACAACTGCGTTCATACACACCAAAATTTTGTACTTGGTTGGTCAGGGAGAAATTATGCTCCTTTAATAACGCCAATTTAAGAGAACGTCAATTTCAAAGAATTGAAAACTACAATATATTCTCTACCGAAACTCAGAACTAGATGGGGATTTCTACGCTTGGCGCACTATACAGCTGGTAGGTAGAAACCGATTGAAGACCTTGACAACAAAGCAGGGTTGACGAAAGGAGCTAAAGTAACCAATCACGTTCGAGCTGCGCTCTTATCGGCTGCTAGGCCTTCTTCTATTCACGCCTTGTGCCAGCCAGCCTGACAACAAAATAGGAGGATTTAGAGCGACTAGCGGCAATGACTTTTACCCAAAATATTAATACGCTTTTAAGAAATTCACTTTTCCTCCAATGGTTCTGGGTCTTTAACCGGCTTATTCGTAATTCCATGTGTCTGTATACAGTTAAAAAACTCACTACTCTTCCATCTTCGGATGAAGAAATTTATTAGCTTGTTTACTTCGTATGGTACAAGCCAGCTAACGGAATCTTTCAGTCTTTGGGGATGAGTCAAAATTGCCCTTAGGGAAGTAAACTGTGGCTCATAGTTCAATATCCTACTAGTAGATTTCTTATTTTCATTAATTAATCTACTTTCATTGTGCTGTTTCATCTCCAACGTTTTATTATTCATTTTAATCTTTTAAATCATCTTTACTATTACATTAAAACATTCTTGGCGTAATTCTTGGAAGATGATTAAATCTATTAAGAAATGCAGGGCTTATCATCAAATCACTTCATTCTCAAATAATGAATCACTTTGTTTTGTATTAAAGTTAACTGTTTAATTTACTGTGGCAAAGCCCACTGCTAAATTTAATTACGAGAAATCTGGCTATCTGCCTAGGAGGAGGGATGCCTTCGTGGTGGGCTTTCTAAAGAACACTGAAACTGGTATTCACGTTACATATGGGGACTATCACGAAAACGCTTATGGCCGTTCGCCTGAAATAGAACTCAGGTCGAACTACCAGTGTTTAGCGGCTTTACCACTCGGTCGCTGTTGGCTACTTCGTACGGGAAAATGTCTACTATTCATGTTGCTTTCAACATGAATAGCAGCCATGCATAGCCATGAATAGCATACTACTTCTGTGCATTCACAGCATCCAATACCTGAAAAGTTTGCAGGCGTAGCATTTCTTTGTTTTTGTTCAGGATGTAATTACAGCGTCAGATTTTTTTGATGGTTGATTTTGTTTGTTGTTGCTGTTGATAATGCTCAGTTGTCTGACCTATAGTCAGCCCAAGTGCACGAAATTTCTCGTGGCAGCAGTGGAATAGCGAGCATAACTGGCGGCCGGGGCAAAATACTTTTTTGCCCCACCCCCCGAAAAAACGCAGTGATGTGATGAAAATCTTGTTTGGAGACCATTTGGCGCCCCTCTGCGAGCGGTGCCAGGGGCATCATACACCCCCTTGTCCCCCCCCCGCTACGCCACTGCGTGGCAATGAACGCATATTTACGCCTGGCGTTGGCAACAGCCTTGAGCACCTTACAGGTGACAGTGCGATTTAGCTCAGATCCGTCCATACTTTTGACGGAGAGCATCCCGCCGGGGACGGGTCCGAGGGTCTTCCACCCCTCTTGCTCTACTACCAACCCTCTCGAGAGGACTTTCGGTTCGCCGTATATTTAGAGTGTCTGCATGCCGCACGGACACTATACATTTACAAACATTCATGCCTTCTCCGGGATTCGAACCCGAACCTTTGAGAATCAAAGTCCGCTCTCCTAACCACTATACCGTCTGGCCAGTTCAAGCGGTGAAAATTATCGCCATTTTCTTCACACAACTGTGCAAATAAACTAGAATTCAAAGTGTTGCACCGAATTTTGTTTAATAAGGTTAGGAAGAATTGAAGATATTGATGCCACTCAGATTATTAGCAACTAAATGTTGACGACGGAAGTCACAGAGAACTGCAAACACCCCGGGTACATTTTGTTTTTTAATAGCTTATAAAACTACAAAAATGCCCAAACGTGACAGGTGTTCCATCTGCTGCTGTTGACGTTATTTTTGATAATGAGGTTGCTTTTTCCATGAAATAAACCCTCGAAACATTGAATATTGAATTACTTTTAGTATCTGTTATCAAATTTCTTGCGAAGAGCAGTTCTTCATGGGTTTCTTAGGCGATAACATAACGAACATAGGCCAATAATAATGACTCATTACCAGGTAAAATTGACTCATCCGGCTGAATGAAAAAATGTGTCATTTGCAGATAATTATCAAAGAAGCTTTCGACGTCATCACTATAATTTCATCAATACTTCCTTAAACTATGTTGTTGTTCAACGGAATTCTTTTGAGTATATCATATGCAGGTTTTTGCAGAACAGTTTTTAAAACCTGTCCAATAGCTAGCAAAATTAGCTGTTCTTCAATTCTTTGCGGCTTTCTTGAGTTTGCTGTAAACAGTGAGTTATTGTAAAGATGTTTGTAAAACATCATCGTCACTTTTTAACGTCTTAGCGAACATACTATCCACCGTGGATCTCTTCGGAAGTTTTTCTTTCAGTGTTTAAAAGTGTTTCAGATTTTTACCTGTTTTATCAAGGTGATACCTTCTCAGATGATCCTCCAGCTTGAATGGCTTCATAGAATTATTGCTTAAAACTTTGTTACATAAAACGCCGGATTTCAAATAATCAACGCCGATTGCTTCATGGAATTTGTGCTTCTTGACTAGACTTCCAATTTTTCAACTATAGATTATCTGTTAAGCTTAAAACTAGGCCAGAAAACAACCTTAGATTGATGCAACTTTAATTTACAGCATATCTGGTCAGTGAGGTTAGATATTCGAATATCGGCAAATTAAAAAAGCATTAAAATTTCACATGTCAAGAAACAAGTATCTTATGATCGAAAGGGCAAAATAAACAAGTCTTCGATAATTAAGCATAGTTGGGAACTTAATCATAATTTTGAATTTGGTTCGGGGAAAATAATCCATAATGCCTCTTCAGTATGTGAAACAGATTTGCTTTAAACTTTTCACATTCACAAGCATTCATCGTCTCTAGTTAATGGTATTAAATCCATTGTGCCCTTTGATCTCCATGCTAAATGGTTGATGGTTGTCGTTCCTTACACCTTTGCAAAAATTTTCTGCTTCTGAAAAAGAGAGACCTATATCTGAATGTCTTTGATATCGAAAGAGTTTTATTTAAAATCTGCTCAATCTAAGAATGCTTTTTTGCTCAGCTTCGAATTTTACATTGGCGAGTTTCTTTTTCAATATAGCTATTAAATCTCAGCAAAAAACGTAGCTAGTTGTTATTAATCAAATCAAATGCAAAGAGATTATACTTTTACAGTTGCATTCAAAACTATTGTTGAATATATTTCCAAAACGGATCGTAAAATGGATTTAAATTAATTTTTTTTTGGGGGGGGTGGCTTCTATGGGTACGAACGTACGTATGTGTGTATGTATGTATATTTATATGTATCCTCCCAAACTAAAAAAATATTAATTGAATTAACGTCATTGAAATTTTGTGCATCGGACTGCTATAGCATCTAGTTGTGCCCCTCTTTTTTTATTGCAGTCGGCAATACCAGGCGTGTATATATTTATATATATATGTATATATTTATATATACACGCCTGGTACTGCCGATTGCAATAACACTAAAGGTAATTCAATATACTAAATGCGTTTTTTAACGTTTTGTGCATTACATTTATTTATTAAATATCATGTTCTTTACACTTAAACCATAAAATTCAATTTAACAGCAATATTCCCAAATAATTTTAAAACAAGCATGTCTTTAGAATTTTCGATATACTGTCTCGCGCGCTGGAGATAAAAGTGTGTTTTTTTTCCCGCACAGTGTTCCCGTTGCTCGTTTTGAAGTCGTTGAGTTTGCTAATCAAAAATTCGTTGAAGTGTTTTACAAAATATAAAATCGATAATAAAACAAATTCCAAATTCCAAATTAGGGCTTCCAGATGCCAATATTCGGTGGAGGATTACGTTATTCAAAATTTGATGGCTCTTAATACCGTTGTTTTATCACAATGCGAGAAACATGCATACAGAAACACATAAACATGCATTATGCAGATTCTTCATTATTTAATTTCTTTAAATATAACACAGGGTTATAATATTTGGTGGCAACAATTTGAAAAGCGAACGGACATTTAAAGTTTTCGACGCAAAATGCCAAAAGGAAATTAATAGCCCTGCTTGAGATAACGCCCTTTAGGTTAAAGATTCGACAAATAGTAAAATCTAGCTTTTGGTCTCCTAGTTCATATACTTATAATTGGATATATATATATATATGTATATATTTGCTATGAAAAAATGACAAAAACTGACCGGGATAGTAATTTCAAAGCTTGCAATTTTTTATGTCATTTTCAACTTGCTTTGAACGATCGGTGATTCAGTTTAGATTAATTCGATGAAATAAGTTTAAATGAAATGTAGCAAAAAATGTGTATAATTTAAGAAATCATGCAGTGCCCACATCAAATTTTTCCAAAATAGTTTATCGTTGAAGAAGGTTCATGGTTTGAGTAATTTGTCCTGTTGTATATATATTTAATTCCTCTTTCAACATATACAGTTAGCTACACTTATAATTACTGCTAGAACTTACATAAACACTGCTTGTTTGATTTAGAATCGCACCTTAGTTTCCTTTTTTTCTCGAGATTAATAATATACTGTTTCATGGATTTTAAATTGCAGACGATATATTGCAAATTAACGAGTACAGAAAAAATAACTGTGCATCACTCAGAATGGCAACAGAAGATATTCTAACGACATTTTATTGAATGTAACAATAATTAGATTTTAAGATAGAATTCTGCAAAGAGTTATTATTGAGCAGGATAAAATTTTTAATAAAATTAAGTTAAAATTGCTATAAATAGCAATTTCATCTGAAGAATCACTGGAAACTTTAATTGAAGAACCACTACAAATAGTTGGAAGATACATCTCGGCATGGAAGATGTTTAACAACTAGCAAATGAAGAGACAAAGTAAGGCATGATTTCTCCTTTTCCTGAATTGTTCTGTTTTTTTATAGGAATCAATTTAAAAAAAATGTGCAGTATCAAAAAGGAAAGGAAAAGTTTTGAATTTTGTCATGGAAAAACTAAGATAAATGTTCTTGCTACTTCTAAGATAGTTGATAATAAAATAGTTTAAGAAGCTCAGCTCAGT